TCTGTCTTCATGTGCATCTCGGTTTCCATCCGAAATCACTTGTTACTGAACTGAGAACTTTTCCTCTGTCTAGCTAGCAATATCACTAGGAGTAAATGTGCTAAGGGGGAAACTGCTTAGCTTTTGATTGCTCAAATGTTTTTCCTGAGACCCAGTCATCTTTACTCTGGGTAAAGAAAAAAAAAACCCTTGGGTACCCCCTTTTACCTTGTGCTGTTGCTGTTACTGTGAAGATGTAGATAGTATGTGTGACTCTAGCTGTCATCAGATCATTCATGGACACAGTGCAACATCATACCTGTTAGATCATGGCTTTGTTTCTGCCAGGAGGCCTGGTGGGAGCAGCTGGCATGATGCGTGCTGCCTCTTGTGACCCATGTGCACCATCCTGCTGCCCAAGGCCTTGATGTAGCCCCCACAGGGTGCCCTGCCTGCACATTATCACACTCTGAAGAGCGGCCTATGGAGCACAAGAGAGAGCTGAGGGGAACATCCTCTCCTTTAATTCGGAACTCATATTCTGTAGTGGTGATTTCTGTGAGTGGTTGGTTGTCGTGTGAACTCAGGTATCTGGGCAGCGTTATGTGTGGAATATGTTGGCACGTTATGCTCGAGTCCTAGGGCTCAGCTGACCTTTATGAGCTTTATCTGCTACTGAATTAATGAACAAGGGCTTTATCAGCCATGAAACTTTGGTGACAGAAAATTCTTGGAGAATTGGTCTGGGACTGAAAGAGGTAATAAAAATCTAGAGCTTAGGCTCAGTGCAGTGACTGAAATAGGAAAAACCACTCGTACACTAAATTGTTTGTTTATAAGCTATGCTTATAAATACGACTTAATTTTTTTTAATTGATGAAATATCAGAAATGAAAATTTATCTAGATTTTCATTTCTGAATGGATCATGGGCTGTGGCACTGGCCGGGTAGGAGATGAAATCTTAGCATAGCCCAGGGTCCAGCACTGAGCAGTATTTCTGCAATCATAAGAATTTAACCCATTTTAGGTAGTACATATCCAATAATTTTCCTGTGCCACATCTCTGGCAGTGTTTTTTTGTGCATGCAACTTTGGCATTCCATCATTACCAGTTCTCTTCAGTCCTCCCAGTGGGGCATTCAGGGTTCTGTCATTCTAGAAGCCAGCCTCTTCCTGATGTTTTCCTGTGTCTCTGCATGTGAACGTCACCTGCTCCGATGTCAGAATATTCTCAAAACCTGTGTGTCTTAAGGACCTGGATTAAGGGGCATGTCCTTCCTCCCCTGTAGGCTGGCAGCAGTTTGTAGCTTGTATCACTGAGACTACATAATTGTCTTCAGTTTACTTTTATACAAAATGATAGCAGTCATTTTAAGGTAGAGACTGTTACCCTGTTTTTAGTCTGTTCCCAGTGCCTTGTAATGGTGCTGCATACATACAGTAGTTGAAATTAATTTGAGTCAGTGACTATCCTGCAAATGGACAGAACTGTGGCTAATCCCTGTAGGCTATGGAAACCCCGCTTAGCTGTTCACAGTTGGAAATGGGTCTGCAGCAGTGCAGATGCTAGCTTACTTTGCCCTCTTTTGTGTTTTAATAAACTAAACAGTAAAGCACCGTAATAACTGCATGATACATTCAGGATTTGGAAACATGGCGTGGATGAATTAGACAAGTGTTGTTAAGAGCTTGCATTGGGAAACGTGCTGTATCTGCTAGACAAACTCCAGTAGCCTCTAGCCAGATGGGGCTGTGAAACTCTGGAAACGAGACCAACGCGACTGAAACACTGAATTTTTAATTTTTAAAAAAGTTTTAATTAACCTTACTTGAAATAGCCAGAGGTGGCTAGTGGCTGTTGGATTTGAGGGTAAAGAAGCATGGCAGAGAAGGCAGGTGGGACAGCCTCCCGTCTGCGCGGAGGTCTGTCTGTCACTGCCACCAGCAGGAAGACTTCTACATCCTAATCCTCAGCCTCCTTGTGCTGTGGGCGAGGTTCCTGCTGTTGCAGACCCCGCTAAGTTCCGAATCCCTGAAGGTACCTGTTGTGCTACTGTGAGCTCCCTCCGGTACTCTGGGTGGGGACGTGTCTTGCTCGGAGAGAGATCAAAGGAGAGCCAAGAGAGGGAAAGAGATGGAAAGTTCAATATTGAAGGAAGGTGTTGGCCTTTTTTTACACAGCACAGGGAAGAGACTAGTATGTGGAGGGAGCGCTTACATTTGGTAGATGTTCTTACACAGATGAGCCACCTGAACCTGTGTGGGATATTTTTATTGCCTACATTTTACATTTCTATTGTCTGTATTATTTACAGTAACTACTTTTGACATCTACATATTGCTATGTTTTTAGAAGCAGAGGTTTATTCTCACCTCTTTCCTGAAGCCCATGTTTTATAAAACTGACATGTTATCTAGTCTAGAAGGGAAGGCCCGGCCAGGCTTGGTGGCACATGCTTGTAATCCCAGCTACTCGGGAGCTGAGGCAGGAGAATCGCTTGAACCCAGAAGGCGGAGGTTGCAGTGAACTGAGATGGCGCCATTACACTCCAGCCTGGGCAGCAAGAGAGAAACTCCATCTCAAAAAAAAAAAAAAAAAAAAAAAGAGACAACCTGCTGTGCTGGGAATGCTTGAGAGTCTGAGGAGAGAAAATGGTGGGTGGTGGGATTTGGAACCTCTGTCACAGCATTACTTCCTGTGCTTTTCTGTCTCCACGGCTATTATTGTAGGACGTACTGATAACAGCTCAGTAAATTTTCTTACATTGATGAGAACAGAACAGTCTTTTTGAGCACTGGTTAACAGTTATTAAGGAATGAATAAAAAATTGTTCAAAAACAGGGAGAAGACCAAGTCAGCATGAATTTTGAGTGCTCTGTGTTTTGAACATGAGATTTTTCCTAATACTTGTGACTCGCTGATTCTCCTGACTCTGACTTTCTCCAGCCACTACTTAGCAGCCGCAGAGCGGAAAGCAGTGCGCATGAAGGCGGAGACAGCCAGAGACTGGAGGAGAGGTGGAACTGGGAAGTCCTGGGCCTGAGGTGCTGCCTGCAGGGTTGAAAGGCCAGCAGACAGTTGGGAGCCAGAGCGTGCTGTGGTCTGAATGTGTTTCCCCAGATCATCTGTTATTACAGATGATCACCAACTGGATGGTATTAAAAGGTGGGCCTTGGAGGTGGTTAGGTCATGAGGATGGAGCCCTTGTGAATGGAATCAGCACCCTTGTAACAGCTGTGAGGGAGCTGTTTTGCCCCTTCCCCCCGTGAGGATGCAATAAGGGACCACCTGTGGGTGCCTTGGTCTTAGGCTTCCAGCCTCCAGAGCTGTGGGCAGTGCATTTCTGTTGTGGGTAAATGACCCAGTCCACGGTGTTCTGTTCCGAGCAGGGGTGGACTGAGGCCGTGTGCTCATCAGAGGGACGGCAGAGCAGAAGCAGTGTCCCCATGAGTTGTAGGCCAGGACCCTAGTCCTGGGCTCCATCCACCTTTGTGTTGGATGCTGACGTCTTTCCCTTTTTTTTTTTTTTTTTTTGGCATTCCTCAGTCATTTTGGTCAAGTACCTGCTCTGGGAGCTTCCTGAGGAGCGAGTGCATGCCAGGCAGTTAATCCATGTGAGCGCTCACGGTTGACTCAGACGGAGACAGTTAGAGGAAGCGATTTCCACCCCCGTTTCAAGGGGTGCTTCAGTGTTTCTGGGCTCTGGTGCTGAGGAGGCCCATGCTTTTCCGCATTCTTGGTGTGAACAGGGGTTTCTCACTCAGAGCTCTTTGCATCCTTGTTTCTGGGCTTCTGAATGACTCTGCTGTTGTCTGGGGCCTCGGTTTTCTTTTGACCTCGTGCCAATGCTTGTGGACACCTTCGATCTTGTGCCTTGCACTCTTTCTGTTTAGTCGTGTGATGATTTCTTTGATTGACTTATGCTTATATTTTTGGTTTTGTGTATCAGCAACTTTTATTCTGTTGTGGAATGACTATAATACTTCCTTTTTCCCCTTTGCTCCTTTATTCCCCCCGCTTTTTAGGCAAATGTATTTGTCGTCCTTTCATGCCTTCTTATAATTAAGGTTGGTACGCTGAAAACGCTTTGGAAGTGCTGTCCCAGAGTTGGGACTGGCTGACTCGTGTTTTCTGGAGGAATCTCTGGTGTTCATGTTTTTGGTCACTTTTTCTGTGGCTCCTATTCCCTGGGTAGGAGGATGTAATCCTTCTGGTAATATTGTGGGTATCTGGGGAGCAAAGACAGCCTGGGGTGCAGGGAAGGTGGTAGGAGTTCACGTGGGTCTCCTGTTTTCAGCACACGTGCCCGTGCTCCGGGTTGTTGCTAGTGTCCTCCAGAAACTGAGGCCCAGAGAGGTGAGCGCGTACCCCGTTAGGCACACCCCCCGCTGAGGCGGCGCCACCGGGGGCCCTGATGCCCGAAGCTTGTGCTGACCCCTCATGCAGCTTCCAGTGCTGGTTCTGGTCATCTCTTCTTCATTCTTTTTGTTCTCGTGAGTTTATGCTTCTTGGAAAAGCCTATTAGCTGTCAGGATGCTGTGGATCTGGGGAGGAGAGGCACCTGATAGATGGGCTCGCTTTCCAGTCTCTAACCTGAAGGGAAAGGCGGTTTTTGTATTTTTTTGTTAGTCTTGATTCTACTGCTTTGGTAGAAAACCTCACAGACTGAATAACCACATTCAATAATTCTCCTTTATGCAAAGCTGAAGGCTGTGTGACATCTGTTTTTCTCGCTGCCCAAAGAGCTTGGGCCTGAGGGTTGGTCGGGATGCCGTGCGTGGTCCTGGCAGTCTGAACACTGCCGGAGAGGACCTGGCAGCAGAGTTGCTTTCTGGGCGCCGCTTCTCTCTGCTAGACTCAAGGCAGCAACATGTGTGTGCTGGGATCGGGGCCTCTTGTTTTCACAGATAGGTGCAAAGGGAGGTTTTCCTTACTCAGAGTATTACATGTCTGTCAGTTCGCAGTTGTCCCGTCTGTAAAACTGATGACTCTTTCCCTTTGTGTTGCATTTTCTCCAGGTTGCCCGAAGCTCAGCAGAGAGTCGGAGGCTGCTTTTTAAACCTGATGCCACAGATGAAAACCCTGTACCTCACGTATTGTGCCAATCACCCTTCTGCAGTGAACGTCCTCACGGAACACAGGTTCGCTCGCTAGGCACCTGGGCAGCGGGGAGGGCGGATGGCTCTGTCCTTCAAATAGTGCATGAAATAGGATGATGCCAATAGTCCCTTGGTTATTAAAGGATATGAATTTTAATTACCCCTCAAAATTAGTGCTTGAGAAGTACTGGTAAGAAGTCTTTGAAATGATGGTATTTCTGTAAAAAGACAAATCTCTTTTGGTGTCTTCCCTACAGCCTGAAGCCCTTTGGTTAACAGGTTGAAGGGTCGGTACGTGTTCGGGGGTGTAGCCACAAGCTTAGTCAAGGGTCCTGGAATCATATTTCTCCCCGTTCTTAAAACTGGAAGTACATGAACCCGAGTTACATCAGCTGTAAGAAAAAGTATCCCATTTCAGATTAATATTAGGGTTTATACACAAAACATTACGTTGGAGACCATTAGCTTTTCAACCTGAAACTAAAAACAAGTGCAACAGAGAATGCGCAAATGTTTTGCTTGTTTTGTGAGGCAAGACAGTGTCTGCTTCCTGCGAATTGGAGGAAGATGTTTCTCAGCTGTTTCAGTTATTAAGGAGGATCTCGGTTGTTAGTGTTAAGAATTGATTTGTTTGAGGATTGGCTTGGAGGAGACCACACCGGGGCTTAGAGAACTCAGAGGCTCACTTTCTGCTTCTAAAAGAGACCAAAGATTTGTATCAATGTTTTACAAAACATTTCATAATTTCTTTTGAAAACAGGAATTCACATATTTTCAAAACCGTAAATGGAAAAAGTATTGTTTTAGTAGCATGAAGATAAATGCCATTTTCTTTCTAACTTAAATATTTAACTTCAGCCTAACCGAACATTTCAACTTAAAGCCTCTTCAGTGAACAGGTGTTGGTTGCCTCTTTAGAAGCACATTTGGGGCTCAGGTGTGGCACTGCGGGGGTGTCCTAGGACAGCTCAGACATGGCAGCACAGTGGACTCCGCTCTGGCTGCTCCCTTCAGGCTCTGCAGCCTTGGGCAGATTTCCTCCTTCTCTGGGTTTCAGCTTCCTTTCCTGAAGGAACTCATTCACAGGGATGTTATACGCATTCGGCTAAAACTGTCAGCAGGTCAGCTCAGGGTGAACATGCCGGATGCTCAGTGAATATTTTGTTGTCTTCTATTGTTGTTTTTTTTTTTTTTGAAGACCCTGGATAGTTACTGTTTCCTGGGTGTGCTCAAATATAAAAAGATTAAGATTTGTTTGAACTTCCTATTTGTTACTAAAGCATCTGCAGCCCAGGAAAGGAAACAGCAGCCTTGAACAATGCAGTGAAAGGAAAGGAAGTTAGAACTCACAGCAGTCGCAGAGAAGGAAAACCCAAAGAAACCTCCCTTTGCACGTCCCGTTTGGGAGTGTGGGCTGTGTCCGCGGCACCTCCAAGCATCCAGCATGTTTCCAGTTACGCACTATGCCCCCTACGCCTGGGAATTTATACATTGAATGAGATTTCCAGAAAGCACAATGCAAGTGTTAAATTTGTATCTCTGGAAGTTCTTCAAGAATTATTGATGGAGTGATGAGGAAGATGAACAGAAAGTCCATCTTTCTGAGGACCTGTCCTAAAAATGACATTGAAAGTCACTGGGACTGTTTCCTAAAATGCGAAGCCATTCAAGAGCAGTGCTTGTGGGCGTGTGCTGCGTTTATCCTCTTCTCTGTTATTACCTTAATTAGTGTGTTTGTCAGATCTTAATGAACGTGTAGCATTTTCCTGAAGCAACCAGAAGAAAGAATACAGGTGGGTTTTTGAGTCAGGAGGGTCTTTGTGCCTCCTTCCCAGGGCTGCCCAGAGAGTGGAGGGGCAGGCTGAGGCCCACTCTGGACAGCAGCCCCGGGGGCAAGTCACTGTTGCTTTAGTGCTGGGAGTCAGAGCTGCAGCGAGAGGAAGGTCCCCCGAGCCAGCAGGTGCCGCCACGGTGGAACCTGAAGCTTGTGTGCCCTCCTGAGGTCGCTGCGCCATGAGAGTTCCGCCTCTGTTGGCCACACATTCCTCCCTACGCCAAAGAGCACGGCAGTGAATTGGGGTCGGGCTTCCCTGTGCCAAGGCTCCTTCCTACTTCCTGCCTTTGTACTTGGATTCTTTCTTGTTCCTCTTGCTGGCTTTTCCATGTGTGTGACTGTCTTTAAGCTGCCACACCTGTGGGTAGACTAATCTGCTCATGCCGTGGTATAATTTTTAAGGATTGGTTCAGGTGTGGTGGGTTGAAGTTTAAAGTCTTATTTGCATCTTCACCGTCCTTGTGTTACTTGGGTTTAAGTTGTAAGTGTGAGCCCTGCAAGTGCAGAATGCCAACTCTGAGCGTTTTAGCAGCTCTGACCTTCCACGGTGTCCAGGGATGGAGGCAACACTTGTCCATGGCCAGCTATTTTGAATGAACTATGAGTGCCATAATTTAGTCTGTAAAAGCGATTTTTTCCCCAGCAGTTTGTTCTTCTGCGCTTGGCTCTGTGCTTGCGTGTGTCTTGTGGCTGCCGTCAGCCCACAGCACTGTGTCAGTAAGGACTGAAGAGACCCACTATGTACGAGGCTGCTGGCATCAGCAGAAGTGAAGCTGAAAGAGCCATCTTTGGTCAGAGTAGCTGTAACTAGCTGTTTCGTCTTATTGTGGCACTACTTTTTTTTTTTTTTTTTTAAACTTCAAACTGAAACTAAAATGATCCACAAATATTTATAAAATTTCATTTCCTTTTTAACTGTATTTGTTCTGGCATTGTAAGAGTGTCTTGTGCATATTAAAAGGAGTTTTACTTGCACACATTTCACTTTTTTGGCTTCAGGGCTTTTTTTGAGGGAGTGGTGATGAGGGTAACTGTTTAGTTTTGTTAATTTTTCTCTGCTGTACCATAGTTAGGAAATTTCACAGGTAACCCTGAAATACAAATAATGACCTGAATGGATTTTTCCTTGATTCTTATTTTGGTGGAAAAGGTCCTTATGTGGATTACATTTTAAGGGGTTGAAATATATTTTTAGTATCGTAAAATTTGATTTTCATGGGACCACCTGATAAATTCTCCAACACCTAGAGAATTGTTGGTAGAATATAAATTGCTCCTGTGTGAAGCCCTCATGTCACTCTATTCATGCTTTAGGAATGCATAGAGTGAGTAGTGGAAAAGGGAGCACTTCTGAGTAAACTGGGCAGAGGGGAGGGACATGTGTGTACAGAACAGACTGCCCGTGGTCAGAGGGGCCGGCCGTGCCATCCACATAGTGGGGGTCCGCCTTGGGTGCAGAGCATCAGCCGTTCTGCCGGCAGTGATAGCTTGGGCAGTGGCCTTCATGCAGGCTGTCCTCTGTATCACTTGCAGAATTGTAGGTCTGCCCCACCTAGAGTGATGTTTGGGGCATTGATGTCTGTGAGTGCCTACCCTGGTGCCCAGCATGGTGAGTGGTCCCGTGGCTCCTCTGTCCTTGTGGTCCTGCTGTCCACAGAGTGCTCACTGTTGCCCCATCTGAGAAGGGGGCGGGGGACAGTGGCTGTAGTGGCTGCAGTGGAGGGGAGTCTGTCCTGGACCTTCCTCAGTTCCCCACCCATCTCCCCGGGTAAGGTGAATAGTGAGGAAAGAAGGCAGAGGACGTGTCCATGTTTAGAAATGATAGGAATACGTGCGGTGTGCTCCCGGGCTCACATCATTGCAGCCTCACAGCGAGCAGGACACCTTGCTGTGCAGGTGTTACCCACAGCAGGCCCCTGAAGATGGCACTGCACTTTATTTCAGTAATCTCCAGCCTGGGATTGTCTCAAGGAAATGATTTTTGGAAAGCACAAAGTTATAGACAACAGATGTTGAGTTGTCTGTTGCCCACAAAAGTGCACATGCTCTCGTGCGTGTGCGCGCTGTCTCACAAAAGACACACACCACATACCCACACTCAGACGTACTCTGACAGTTTCTGTGCTAATTTTTAAAACAGCATCAACATGATGGGCAGCCTTACAGAAATAATTATGAAGCCTTATATATGGAGTTGATAAAATGTTTCTCGTCTTATTTTTTTATAAGTGGATATATGCAACATTACCCTTTTTTATAATTTGCTTTCGTGTTGATAATAACCTGTTTAAGTGTGTATATGTATTTGTTCATTGAAGGTATTTCTTGTTGGCAAGGACAGACAGAGGTGCTGCACCGGCATTGTTACTGTTTTTACACAGCGTAGGACCGCACCCTGGCCTTGGTTAATGAGACCACCCTGGTTTTGTAGAAAGCACGTAGACGTGAGTGGCCTTCTCGGAGGGTGGTATGTGCTGAGGAAGGGGAAGGCTGGTTTCCTAGTGACCGTTTGGTTTTCAGGATGGTGTTTGAATTGGTTTCACTGGGGGACATTCTCACTAGCTGCCTTGGCGGGGCATCCACATGGAATAAGGAGGGTAAGAAGCGGGAAGGGCTGGCACCACCCTGGCTCTCAGTCCTCCTTATGGGAAGCTATGTTTAGATTGAACTCTCTGAAACTGTTAATATTCACTGTTTGTGGACTATTTCCTCTGGGTTAACCTAAACACTGTCTGTCTGTTCCCGGGGAGCCCTTGATGGATCTGGTGTCCCCTAGACCTCTGGCAGTGGCCGGCTTGGCTGGGGTGGTGCATTGGGAGGCTCCTGTGAGACCAGAACCGGAAATTGGCTTGTTTCTCAGTTTTGCTGTTAGGATTTTCATATTTATTTTAGGACATCGTTTACATAATGAGGATATAAAAGTATCTTTTCCTTTTAAGGGAAAACCTCTAGACTAGGAAAATTTGTTCCTAGGGTGAGTGTGCCATGGGTATCATTTGAACCCAGCTCTGCTGACTAGAGACCCCTGTCTTCCAGGATGGGGCGTGGTGACGGGGGTGGGGTCACCTGGGTCTCCTGGATGGGATGTGGTGACTGAGAAGTCACCCTGGTCTCCTGGACCTGGCATTGGCTGCCAGCGCTGGTGCTGCCTTCCCTCCTTTCTGTGGGCTGCACCCTGTCAGATGTGTGGACTGATGGCACTTGCAGTGTGAGGGACAGCAGACCCAGGGCCTGGCAGAGACCTCAGAGATCGCCAGTGAAGGGGTGTCGCGGTCAGGTGACTGTCAGCCTTAACAGACGTGTGGGTGAAGAGCTGGACCCCTCAGAATCCTGCCCGTGTCCTCTGCCACAGCTGTGGGAACTCTGAGGACAAAGGTGACGCATGTGAGGACCCACTGTAGGGAAAGCTAGGCGAGGCACCGTGAAGGGAATGGTGAAAGAGGAACACAGGAAGATCTAAAACTTTCTAACTCCTTAATTTTGTCTTACGCACTCAGTTTCTTTGTCCACACACAGGGACCCCTTCCGTCCTTACGTGTTGTGAGGATTGAATGTAACAATGCTTTTGAAGTTCTAAAGCATAAATCAGCATTTGCTGTCTGCACGCAGGGACCCCTTCCTTCCTCATGTATTGTGAGGATTATACGTAACAAAGCTTTTGAAGTTCTGAAGCCTAAATCAACGTTTGCTCTCTTCTCTTGCTGCTTCTCCCACTCCTCACCCCAAAAGCCATTGCTTACTCCCAGGCTGAGTGCTGGCAGCACGTAGGTGGGGCCTGCTTGCTGGACGAACTCACCTCTGGGAATGACCGCCATTGGCGTGCTCTAGCTCTTTACCGGAGCAGCTCAGTTCTTGTTCTTACCACCTTAAGACTCTGAGATTATTGGACTCCATTCTGGCTCTGAGCGTGCACGTTTCCATTGGACATGTCTGCATGGCACTGATGTGCCAGAGGGCCTCGGCATCAGTAGGATCTCATGGAGACCCACATATCCTGTGCTGTGTGTAGTTACTCTTGCTCATATGAGAGCAGGAACGGGACCTCTCAGGGGTGGGAATCCCCTTTGGCATTTCCACATAAGCAGCGCAGATTTGGGATCAAAGCTGGAGCCTTCCAGATGTTAAAAGCAACACTCATGTTTCATAAATTCTGGCTGTTGCTCATGGAGATCAGAGAGCCACCATTGCCTCTCATTGCTAACCAAAGTGTCTCCCTTGCCACTTGCTGCCCAGTGAGGAGTTGGGGGAGTTCATGGAGACCAAAGGTGCCAGCAGCCCTGGGATTCTCGTGCTGACCACGGGCCTGAGCAAACCCTTCATGCGCCTGGATAAATACCCTACGCTGCTCAAAGAGCTCGAGAGACACATGGAGGTACTGCACTTTCATTCTCTTACTCGGAGTCCTTACCAAGGGTTAGCGGCATGGTCAGACTTTAACTGTGAAAGAAAGTATTATTCATGATTTATTTTAGAAGCCAGAACCAACAGAGTTTGCAAAGAGTGTTTACTTAGTGGATTGTCAAAATGATTTTGTTAAATATTATGTTTTTCTCCTTACTCCAGCTCTATTAAAAAACATTTACCACTTATCTCTCTTTTACCCACTGCTGCTGGTTGAAAAGTTTCCAAAAGCTGAAACATGAGAACTGATTTTCAGATAATGTTGAGATGTCTTATCTGGATCATCAGCTACAAACAATGTGTGCATAAGTTATAGGGTAATACTGTACTAATCATTTAGTGAATGATTATGCTCTTTTAATTTTGAATAACAGGTTGCAGCCTAGCAGAAATTTGGGTTAAAGTGACTCTCTTGGCTTGAGTTGGCAAACCTTTTCTGTAAGGGGCAGACTGTAGGGTCTTCATCACAGCTCCACGGCTCTGCCGTTCTGGACACTGCGTGTGAGCCGCGACAGTGTTCCAATAAGACTTTATTGATGAAGCAAGTGTTGGCTTCCCCACCCATGCTGCTCGTGACTGTTCTCTTTCAACGTATGTTTCCCCCAAGTCTGATGGCTTCATGATTTTCTGAAAGACTGACACTTTAATGCTGAGGGAAAAAGGGAATATTAAAGGTTGAAAAGTATTAGAAAAGTTTCAAGCTGGTCTGTAGAAAGTACCTTTTTAAGAAAAGCTTTTCCTTATGAAAGCTAATTGTATGTTTCTTTTACTCAAAGGATTATCATACAGATAGACAAGATATTCAGAAATCTATGGCTGCCTTCAAAAACCTTTCAGTAAGTGATTAAGCATATTGTTTTTTTCCCCCAGACATTATTGTGACAAATGAATGTAAAAGAATTATCAACTGAAAAAGTCAAATGATTAAAAAATGACTTGTGCTGACATGAAAGAAAAACAGAGTCGGCATTCTATGGCTGGTAAACTCCTTTTAGTGGACTCTGATAGAATAATTACTTAAAATTTTTAAAATTGCGGTATAATTGATGTTAGATCTACTTTAAAATTATTTAAAACATTTTTTTACCCTTCATTCGTGTTGTCTTTAATGATTTATTGCAAAACAGAACAATGGTGGTTCCATTTTCTCTGCTGTTGTGTTGTCTTACCAACTGCATTTTTGAAATATATGCCTTATTTTATAGCACAAGTTATGCTTTGTTTCTTCTCTTCAGTCTTCTATATTGGCAAACACTAACAAAACCAGAATGAAAATACAGTTTTGTTCTGTCCACATTTCTTTTTCGTACAACTGGCAAAATCTGCTATATTTTTCTAAGATAATACTTAGTATTCCAGAGCAGTTGTGTGCATTGCTTCTTTTGACTTGATTTCATACTTTCAAGCAAATACTTTCAATTCCGTATAATTAAGCAAATCATTCAACAGATTATCTGTCTGAAGAAGTAAGATATAAAGCAATAACTGTCTTAAGGACGATACAAAGCAATGTGGCCAGAACTTAAGATTCTGGAAGTTTCTGTCTGTTAACAGTGTTGTTCTGTGTCTGTCAGGCCCAATGTCAAGAAGTCCGGAAAAGGAAAGAACTTGAGCTGCAGATCCTGACGGAATCCATCCGGAACTGGGAGGGCGATGACATTAAAACTCTGGGCAACGTCACTTACATGTCCCAGGTCCTGATCCAGTGTGCTGGAAGCGAGGTACTGCTGCCCACATGTATGCATCAGGGTTTCTGTCCCACTCTTAGGAGCTCGTAACAGAAGATGTTAAAGGCATCTCAGGCAATGAAAAACGTCTAATAGAAGCTCTATCTTATAATTTGTGAGCTACTTTTTATTCTTGACACAGGAGAGAGGCTTATGGTCTGTTAGAGAGGCTTAGAGCTGAGTGTGGACTTGTTGACCAGTTTGTTCCGGCTGAAGTCAGTGTGGCCTGAAACCCACGTGAACTGAAGGATAGCATGCAGAAAGACTTGCCAGGAGTCCCATGCACACATCTGCACGGAGCTGTATGCGCTTATCTGGCCAGCAGCTTTGTACCAAGGCTCGCTCTCACAGGGACCTGCCGCTCTCAGTGCTTTCAGGTCATTATACTTTCCTGTGAAAGTATGCTAGCTGACATATGCTTACAGGAGTCACAGTTTTCTTACGGGTTTGGTTTAAGTGAGAGATCAACTCAGATTTTTGGGACATACCCACCCACACAGTGAAAATCGAGCAGTTTGTTTCATGATTCACATTGACATACATTCAGTGGGTCACTAAACAGGCACCTCCTTTTGAATTTTATTCTACCTCTGCAAAAATAACATGATCAAAACATGCTAAATGACTCATTTTTGAACACGAGACTCTAAGGAGAAAAAGAAAACTAAAACTTGAAACTTTCACAGTGTGTTTTCCTTTCCACCTATAAAATATCACCCCTTCTACATAGTCCTGTAGTTTGGGTACCGTAAGAAACCGTGATTGTAAAAACCTCACATCTTTTCAGAAGCAGTTTCTTTTTGAATCATGCTCTTTTAAACTTTAATTTTTAAAATTCAAATTAAATGTGTAAACATTTCCCAAAGTGTGTTCTTTATAATATTAGATCTACACAATGCCGGTGGGTGTTACTTCAAAATGCTTCAGAGTGGTTCTGATCACGACTGAACATGATTAGTGGAAAAGATTCTTTATGACAGAGCTCCTCAGAGACTTGGCTCTCAATGTTCCCAGAGTATGTTGTGAGTCTTCAAGAGGGGGCTATAGCAAGTCTTTCTCAGTGGCTTCTTTAAAGTATGGAAGACTCTTTTCAAGGTGCTTTGTGTAAGCCTAATGTTCTGAGGAATATACTTGGGGAAACTAATTCCTAGGACTGATTACACTTTTGGGGGCCGTAGTTTAAGTGTCAACATGTGAAAAGGACTGTCTGGCATTTTTTGGTCACTTTTTGGATTCTTAGGAACTTTTTTCTTTCACTTATCGTCTCTTTGGCTTTTATCTTACCGAAGCAAGTGATTTTTAATATATAAGTAATACTTTTAAGTCTGATGTAAACCAGGTGATGTTTATGGGGTGGATGAAAACAACACTGAGTTGACATTTGGGAGGTTTGGGAAGTGCCAGGAATTATTAGTAGACCGAAATTGATTTTAACATTTTATCCTATCCTTCCTTTAGCTTAAACACTTCACCTGTTCACCCCACTAAAATGTATAGGTTCTCTCCTTTTTCTCTGAACCAGAAAAAGAAAATTTTAGCTTACCTGAAAATAATCACAGAGCTGAACTCCTTAACCAGATATATTTTCAAGATGTTACACAGGCTAATTGTGACTGCAGGATCTTTTAATCATTCAGTTTAGTTTCTTACCTTTTGTTTTTTGAAGAATTTAGAAATCCTTCTCTTTACCTATATGTCAAAGCTGTCTCTTAATCATATTTTAAGACTTAATACAGAATTTATCATAATTGTTTCCATTTAATTTACCTGATAAAACTTGACAGAAATACCTAAATAAGAAATACCATGTGATGTTTCATAGGGTCTGGTATAAATAAGTATTTGTGCTCACATTTGTAAGTAGATGTTGTTTAAGAAATGTTTTGGGTTTCTTTTTTTGTATTAGGAAAAGAATGAAAGATATCTTCTACTATTCCCAAATGTTTTGCTAATGTTGTCTGCCAGTCCTAGGATGAGTGGCTTTATCTATCAGGTAAAACACCATCTAAATTTACATTTTATTGTGGATCTGAGGATAATTTCAGGCTGGCTTTGAATTTTGTGTTAAATATTACATGTATCTGTGTATGTGCTGTGTGTGTAATGCCGTATGTTCAGATATGGATGTACGGCTCCTGTTTATGTTTCGCTGTGACTATGCAAGCATATCCTATGTTAATTTTAAAAAAGGAAAGAAGTGTAAATGTAAAGCAACCTCATAAGGACACAGACGACTGTGGCACAAGTCAGCCTCTGTCATTGCCTTCTGTCATTTCATGCAAAATACCTTGCTGCTCCTTGCTATAGTTTTGTTCTGTGACATGGGTTCAGCTAGGGCTTGTGGGTTAGTGGGGTAGTGTAGACTAAGGTCTTGTGTCAGTGGCACAGCACTGCCCAAATGCATCAGCAGATAGAAAGTGATGTAAGTATGTAAGTAGCAGTGTGTGATCGTTGAACCTTTTTAATTTTTGTTTCCCTGCTTTTCTTGGAGAAAATGTGACAGCGGATTTGAGAAGGAGGTGCAAGGGTGAGCAGGGCCTTTTCTGTTATGACAGTGGTTTATAGTGCTGGTATGTGAAGGAGCTGGTATTTTTGCTGTCTAGTAGATGCACTTGCCAGGTTTCATTCTTTTTTTTCTGTGAAGTAATAGAGGCTCATATCCTTCCCATCAGCTTTCTGAGGACTGGCCAGTCACCACATAACCACTGCAGCAGAAGCCACCACTTCGTGTTCCCTGGGTTGCGTTTCATTGTAGCATGTGTTGTTTTGTGTTGTCCCAGCAAGGGCGTTAGAGAACCCTAAGCAGACACTGTGCCTTCACAGAGGCTTTGTCGACCACCCAGAGAGGACTTGTCGTCATACGTTTACTCTAAAACGGGTGCTTTAGAATTGATGAATCACATATATAGGAAAAGACTCAGGAAAATAAGGCTGTAGTTTGTAAGGCCACTGCTGAAGAGAGGTGATCTGTGGCTAAGGTGGTGCCCACTAGAGTTTTCCAATAAACTAGCAGCTACTTCTTTGTTAAATGACCTTGATAAACCTAAATCTCTGTCCTTTCTGGTCAGCACTATCTGGCTTCCTATTTTATATCCCCAGAGTCTCATTCCAGTGGCTGGAGACAGGAGCCTTCTCTAGCCTAAGGGAGAAGAGGTTGCCACTCGTGGCAGGCTTGAGTCTCTGCCTGTGGGACTGGGGCTCACACTGGCTTTACCCTTGACGTGCTGACAGACTGCTGGGGCTCATCTCAACGACAGGATTCTATTTTTCCGTTGTTAGTACAGTGGTGAGCCATGGTCTCTGTATCATCAGTCTTCATTTCTACCATTGGAACACTGGCTTTGGGGGATGCTAAAAAGTGTTCGATCCAGCCACAGCCACAGTGCTCTGTACACCGATGTTCCGCTGGGCTAGGTGAAACACAGTTGTGCAGTTTCGTTTTCTGTAGCACTCACAGCTGTTAAAGTACTTACATGCATTGTGAATCTTGGAAAGGAGTTCACAGTGTGTAGCATTTTTTAAATACGCCTGGCCACAGAAGTGTCCAGCAGTCTCCTCTTCCACCTGCTGTGCTTTAGGATGAGATTTCTCCACCTGGGCACTGCTGACGTTTTGGACTGGATCATTCATGGCCCGGGGCTGAGGGGTCAGTGAGACTGTCCTGGGTACTGTGGGGTATCGGCAGCCTCTCTGACCCTTACTTGCTGGATGTCTGAGCCCCTGCCAGGTTGTGGCACTGCCACCCATTCTCTGTGGGGGCACGTTCCCCACACCCGTTGAGCAGCACTCCGCTGGAGGTGCTCATGCAGAATCTCGCTCCGCAGGTGATGGAGTGCTCCCCAGGCAGCACGACCCAGACGCCACTGCCTCTTCCTGAGGACTTGGTGGGCCACCGTGTACTGTGGTTTCTGTCAGCTGCGCCAGGCTGTTTTGTGTTCACTTCTGATTTGTTTGTAATGATCACTTTGTACCCCGTTTCTGGTGTCTTTTCCATTGACATTTCCTGTTGCAGTTACTGATTTCTTCCATTTTCAGGGAGCATTGGTTTGCCAACCATTTTCTGCATTGTGTGCAGCATTTAGCACAACTACTTATTTTCTGTTTGGTGGATTATAAAGTAGAATGTTAGGCAATTCTTGTTCTTGCCTCAATTTCCCACCCTTATTTTGACTTTAAACTTGGAGCTTCCTCTGTATTTATGAGGCAAATACATGCTTCTTTTCTGCAAAAACGTCATTTAAAACAACTGTTACACGTGGTAGTTTTTTAAAAATCATAATGTGAGATTTTTTTGTCCTGGTGTCTATTTAGTAGCAGCTCATCAGATGCAGTGTGTGTTTGGGCTTGTCAGTCTGTCCCTTGTCGCCAGTTGAGTTTCTTGCTTACAGTACAGTATTATGATTTATTATTTGAGATAAAGATTTTTGTATTATACATGCATCTGCTACAAACGAACTCTTTTTGGTTCACAAACACAGTTCCTCCACCAATTCTAAAATCATTTAATATTACTTTAATAATGGTACCTTTTTCTAGAAAAGCACTAATTGTTTTTTTTTGTGGGGGGGTCTTTTTTAGGGAAAGCTTCCAACGACAGGAATGACAATCACAAAGCTTGAGGACAGTGAAAACCATAGAAATGCATTTGAAATATCAGGTGATAGGCACAAGCTGTGTGCGTGCCGTGTCTCGGGGAGGAGAGGCAGCTTGTCCCCGCGTGCAGATTCTTGCTTGCATATTTCAGAAGGTGGTGTTTAAGCGTTGAGTGGAATTCTGGGGGCTGTGTGTGCATGCACGCGCTTTTTACCTGTGTTTCCACTCGGCCTATTTTTTTCCTTCTCTCCTCTAGGGAGCATGATCGAGCGGATATTAGTGTCATGCAACAACCAGCAGGATCTGCAGGAATGGGTGGACCACCTACAGAAGCAAACGAAGGTCACATCTGTGGGAAACCCCACCATAAAGCCTCATTCGGTGCCGTCTCATACCGTAAGGACCTGGCGCTTCTCCTCCTTCCAGACTCCAGGCGTGGCATCCCGTGGCTGAGCTGTCAGCAAGTGATCACGTGCTTTAAAACCTGATCAGTATTGGGATAAAAATGCAAAACACTTGCTTGATATTTCTCTGAAAGTATTTGGCCCTCTTTGTGCAGTAGTGAATTGTTTTCCAGTGAGTGTTCTCGAGAAACAACCCTGAATTGTGCCTCCTCACGCACAGTTCAGAGGTGCTTGGGTGGGAAAGGCTGCTTTTGCTCAGCGTGGCCTTAGAAGACTAATTTAGGGGAGTTTTACACTAAACTGTAGATGATTTTTCTGAGAATTTTAACTGTTCATTATGCTTCATTTAAGAAAACAAAAATAAATGATTATGATGATGAAAAGGGCCAGATTCATGTTGAAGGCATTAAAATAGAATTTATGACACACTGTTGATTTTAAGAAATTGAGGTGTCTTTTACTTAGAAAAGCTCAGCAACTCTTTGAATTTTTAGAGAATTACAACTTTTCAAAATAGATGAACACTGAATTTGGTTGCAGTGTTTAAACCTCTCCTGGTGTTTTTTGCTCAAGAAGTTGGTATCGGGTTGTTTTAACAGTCGTCATCTTTATCAAGTAATACCGAAAAACTGGGCAGAGCTTTTAAAGAATGAGTGGCGATGACACGGCATTTTCAGCTTGCAGATTCCCTCACATCCTTACTAGGTTATTAGGATCAGTTCTGTCGTGTGCTCAGTTTTCATGTTTTCTTCTTCATGGGAAGGTTGTAGATCAAGAAGGATTGCTGTATTCTGATGTTCTCATCAGTTTCAGAGTCCATTTGATTTCTCTCAGCAGTGTGCAGATAACTACTCATTGGCTTTTAGCTAGCATTTCATCTTTAATGGCTTTGCCGTTTTAAAATTCTCCATTCTTTCGTGGAGATCAGTTTATCCCAGCGACACGTGTACACGTGTGTTTATAAAGAACAGTGGATGAGCTGCTTCACTCAGATTTTCAACAGCAGCCTGAAACTCTACTTCATACAGTTTTACATCAAGTCAGCTTTTCTCTGTGGCCAGACCCTCTGTCTTTGTGTTTCTTTCACTGGTGGCGGGGAAGGCACTGTGCCTCATGTTTAAAATGTTCTGCGTTCTCCTACAGAGTTTCTTTTGTGGGATGATGTATTCTCCTGTGATCTAACTCTGTCCAACTGAAGTCATATTCTAATTTTAGCATAAAGCTTACTTCCTTTGACTTTCTCAAGAAAGGAGAAACAAAACCAGACACTACTTAACTCTGACGTTGTTGCTAGGAGGGATGTCTTACATAATTTTCTCCATCTATACATTATTTCCTATGAAAAGATGACGTTACGGTGGCTTCATAGCATGACCTGTATCTCACACGATTCCCTTCCCCATGCAGGGACTAGAATGTGATCATTGCAGAAAGTTGATGACGTCTGTTCTTGAAATTGTGGCATTAGCTGCTGTGGGGCCTTCCCTCTCAGCCTGTTTTGAAGGTCGTGCACTTCAGAATGCCGACCCCACTCAGGTTTCCAGTTCACAGCGCCACACAGCTTGTTCTCCCATTAAACGCGCCTTACTATTGTTGGCTAATTTGAAGTCATTATTGGCTGATTTTGAGACTTACTTAACTTTTCTCATTTAACTGTCATTGTGATGGGATATTTCGGGTTTCCCAGGAATATAAAATTCATTCATGACATACCTCCTCTAAGAAGTTAATTTTCAATTAACTTTGTTTTGATTAAAGTTGAGTTTTCTAAGAAAATAACTGATTTTATACCAGGGTTTGGCAGTGTTCTAGAAAGAGCCAGGTGGTAAACATTCTCTGCTCTACAGGTTCAGGCCTCTTGCAGCTGTACTCTGCCCTTGTAACACAGCAGCGGCTTTAGACAGGCACGGGCCTGCTTGTGTGCCAGGAAAACTTTTTTAAAAAACAAAACGAGGCGATTGGGCCTTAGTTTCACCCAGTACTTCATCACCAGGTGAAGAATAGTACGTGACTGGGGGGAATCACCTTCCTTCTTACAGCCACATGCCCTGTGTGCTTTTGTGAAATTCTCATCTTTTTACTAGATGAAGTACCTTTTTTTCTGTTAATGTTACTCCGTAGCTAATAAATGTGGCTAGTGGATGTCCGAGTGCTGGGGTGCCAGCTAGAGCTGCCCCTCCCGTCTGGGGCAGACATCGTGGGGGGTCCCACGCTCAGCCCAGGTGGCGCGAGCTGGTGCTTGGCCCCAAAAACTACTGAGAGCCAAAGATTCGAACGAAATGATAAATGATAAATCCTGGGGTTTATTTCACATGGAGTGTTTGAAGAGCGGAAGGAAGTGCGTGATAGTGTCCTTTCACGGTGAGCATGCAAGTCTCACGTTCTCTGCCCTTCCCGCTCTGTGCCCTCGGCAGCTGCCCTCCCACCCGGTCACTCCGTCCAGCAAGCACGCAGACAGCAAGCCCGCGCCGCTGACGCCCGCCTACCACACGCTCCCCCACCCCTCCCACCACGGCACCCCGCACACCACCATCAACTGGGGACCCCTGGAGCCTCCGAAAACACCCAAGCCCTGGAGCCTGAGCTGCCTGCGGCCCGCGCCTCCCCTCCGGCCCTCAGCTGCCCTCTGCTACAAGGAGGTGAGGTCCCTTGACCACTCAAACAGCCAGACGCCGGTGAGCATGCCTTGGGCCCTGAGTGTGCTGGGCTGGTCCCTCGGTACACAGCAAAATGCACCCTAACTGCTAGAGAACTGAGAAGGGGTCTGCCTTGGTTCTTTGATTATCTCCGCTGCTGCTGAGAGGCCTGTGGTAACCCTGTGTGGGAAGGGGATGTGCAGATGTGCAGGGCCCCTCCTGTCTGTGCCATGCACAGGGGGGCCTTTACTGTGCTTGCCGGAGGAATGTGCTGCCAGGGGCCAGGAGCTGGAAAGGCGCTGAGCCCAGGTGACTTTCCCTCCCCGTGTGTGAGGCCATCGCTCGGCGTCTGCATGCTGTCAGCTGCGTCTAACAACCCCTCCTCTAGGTTGGGGATCCTATCCAGGAGCCCTGCGTTTTGTCATCCAGAAGCCATTTGAAATGAAGAGAACGTTTACCAATACAAGTGAAAAAACACTTAGGCAGTTTCCCCCTTTGATGCCTAAGAAATCATGATACAGTCTTTCCTTGTCTGTGTTCTCATCCAGCATTTTTGTGTTTGCTAGGTGCAAATAAAGCACGATTCTAATGAATAAATATAAGTATTAACACTTTCTTATACTTTCACCTAAGCCAGCTTGGATGAGGAAAGGAAGCGGCTTGAGAAATGTGTTCTGAGAAATATTTTCACCTGAGGAAGCCGATAATTGAGATGAGCGTTGTTTTCATAAGCAGTTGAGCGTGCATGGTGGTGAGGTACGAGGAGTGGCGGTGAGAGTATGGGTGGCCTGCGTGCAGATATGAGGAGCAGTGCCCGCTGGTGGGGTGTGAGTGAGCGTGAGGATGGTGATGCAGTCTTGCCTGGCGTCACGCCTCTGTGTCTGGTCAAGGCCACATTTACCAAGGGAACTGGAGCAGACTTTTTCTGCATTCTTGCCAGCAGCCCTGAGGGTTTTAAGGCCCATAGGAAAGTACTGTGTAAGAAATTAGGATCTATGCTTTTCATTTTTTGGTCTTACTGAGTCTTTGTTTTTATGATATCTTTCAGGTAATCATGTGTGCAAGTCAGAATTCTCATTTTCTGTCATGGGAAGTTACTTGAAGAATGTTGGTGTTCCTTATTGTATACTTTAGTGTGCACAGTCTAAAGAAAAAGTGAGCTACTGCAAGAACTGGTGGAGACTGAATTACTAGGGAAGAAAACGGGGATAAAACTGTTGGGAAAAGAAGTAGAAAGGGCAAGGGAAGAGGCATTGAAATGAAGATAAACAATTTGATTTTGATAATCTGGCTGCAGTTGCTTTGCCCACTCCACACTGGGAGAGAAGGGCTCACACCGAGCAGCTGCCGTCCAGTGTTGCTGAGCGCCACACAGCATTAGCGTGGAGAGTGGTCCTGCAGAGTACGAGAAGAGGGCGTGGAGGCTCGTGGAGGCCGCTCTGCAGCCTGCTGTGCCTGGCTCTGGTCGTCGGGTGTGCTGTGTGCTTCATGACCCTCTGTGCCCGCAGGTGCCCTCGGAGCACATGGTGGGTGGGCATTGGCTCTTCAAGGCTCTCCATCTCAATTTGCTTTGAATTAGGGAAGCCAGGGAGCACATGTGTATAAATGTGTCTTCTGGAACAGATTGCTACTGCATTTCTAAGAGCTTTACAATTTTTATAGAAAGATTTTTATTTAACTTTTTAAATGTTACTTTAGATTGAAAGTTTGTTACATGGCTGTATTGGGTGATGCTGGGGTTTGGGCTTCTAGGGTACCTATTACCCAAATAGGAAACATTGTACCCAATGGGTAGTTTTTCAAAACTTGCGCCCATCACCCTCCCCCTTTTGGAGTCCCCAGGGTCTGCCATTTCCATGGTCATGTCCATGTGTACCCATGGTTTAGCTCCCAAGAAAAGACTTTTAAAGATAACTTTAAAAACCAAGCTTCGTTTCCTCTGTTTCCAGCCCGGTTCATTCCGTAGCGCATCTCATCTTCTGAGTCTTGGCTTCGCCTGTTAACGTTCACGATGGTTTATGTCACTGGCGTGGTGCAGAAACCAGCCTTTTTTTGATATCGGTATTTAACACGTGCTTGATAGTTGACACCTTACCTGCTCTGTTGGACTTGCTTTGCTCACTTTGTATTTTGCTGTCGTCTTCTGTGCTTGTTTGAGAAGCTGTTTGAAGAGGTAAGGGGTGGGCGGTTCCGTTGTGAACACGCCTCTGAGCTAGTGTGCGTGTGGCCCCTGCAGAACAGCCCCGGCTGAGCTTGGCTGTGCTCCTGGCACTCAGAGTCGGGTAGCTGAGCACTCACTCCCTTTTCTTCTCCCTGAGACTTCAAATAGTTTCTTAAAGCGATTATTTTTTACTTATTTGTCATTTAATGATGACCTTAGTTTCCTCTCGTCTTTCCAGTTAGCTGTACCGGGGGGTGGGTCCGCCCCAGGGAGCCACTGCTGCCTCCTCCCCTCCTCCCTCAGGAGTGTGCAGGATGTCTGTGCACACCAGCGCCAGCCTGCCTCCTGGGGACACCTCTCATCACAGAACTAACAGGACCCAAATGGCATGAGGGGTTTTATCAGAGTGAAGAAAAAATATTAGCCAATGACTAATACTGAGAATGCCCTATTGATTTTTAAATTAACGTTCAGAAGCTGGTAAAGAAAAATCAAAATAGGAAAAAGTGAGAAGCTCTTATCAGTGGCTATAATAATTTGGGGTTTTATACCTTTACAGCAGCCTTTCTGATACGCCAGTGAAAATGATTGGCTTTAGAGTATGTTAACATTTTCTTTTCTCTTTCCCTAGGATCTTAGTAAGAGTCCCAAGACCATGAAAAAGCTGCTGCCCAAGCGCAAACCTGAACGGAAGCCTTCCGATGAGGAGTTCGCGTCCCGGAAAAGTGAGTAGCTGCGGTCCGTGTGGAGGAGGATGTGGCCTCCTGGTCACGCAGGCCATGGCATTCATGGGATGGAGGGAGGCTTGGTGGCTTTCTGAAGACTCCAAGCAAAAGTAGGGTCTGCCCCTTGAGGCAGTGGTAGGAATAAGTGGTAGTAAACATAACGTTTACCCAAGCAAGCAGGAGAAGTGCCCTTGTGTCAGTGATGAAGTCTCCGTGCCAATTCCAGCACCACTGCCTCCTAGCCCTTCCTCATCCAGGAGCTGGGGCCAGACCTGGAGGGCTCGCCTGCTTTTCTGGTTCTCCCTCATTGCCTGTAAGATATTCCACCCAAAGATATTCCACCCACACTTCCTGAAGTGCCATCATCTCCCAAAGTGGTCTCTCCATCTGTTAGAAGCATGACCTGCTGTGTTCTCATGTGGATTGCACCTGCCCGTGCTGTTCTCGTGCTGTTCTCTCCGCTTTGGACCCGTCCTATCTGTTCCTCAGGCCTAGGGGTCCGACTCAGTTCTGGGTTCCTACGTGGCCTCTCAGCAAGTACCTGGCACCTGTTAGGTGCTTGGTAGATAGCTTTTGAATAAGTGGAGCTCTTGACAGAAGTAAGTGATTTTCCTGGGGGTGACTGCTGGGAAGGGGTACATGTGAACAGATTGCTGTGGACTGATGGGTGCAACCCAGGGAGAGTGAGCCAGCTCTGGGGAAGTTGCAGGATCTGTCCTGCAGGGTTCTGCCCTGCCCCACCCCATGTCTGAGCTCAGCCTGTGTTGGTCCTGTGCCTTCACTGCTCACTTCCTCCAGCCTCAGGAGGAGGCCCAGCAGCCGTCCCACACACTCACTGTGCCGCACCACCGCTGGCCTCCCCTCACCCCCACCTTATCAGTCAGCCCTGTGAGGTCACCGTGCTGGAGTGTTCATTATATTCTTGTCCTTGTCACCGGATGTCCATGGCAATATAAGTCACCATGCTGACTGTCTTCCTCCCCAGGTGGTCCAGGCCCCTGACCACCAGGGCCCCTGATGAGATGGTGAGGCCCTGGGGTCTAGCTATTGAAGCGGAGCTGGTGCTGGACGCCTGCTCTGTTGCTTACTGGCTGTGCTGGGGCTTCTCTGTGAGCGAACTGTTCTGTGGGCCCCTTCCTTCAGCAGATCCAAGGGCAGCACTGAGCTGGGCGTGGGGCCGGCTGCAGCTGAGACCATCATTCTTGGGCGCGTGCTTCATCAGCACCTTCATGGGCTGGGCGTGAAGGATGCAGTGTGACCAAAAGAGATCCCTGTTCTCATAGAGCCTGTTTTAGTAGAAGGATACAGACAGACAAAACAAGTGAACAATGTGTGGGCCGTGGAGTGCTGCAGAGACCCAGTAGGGAGGAAAGGTGGGAGGTTCGGTGCCAGGGTGCCATTTGAGCAGCCTCCTGGAGCCGAGGAAGCAGGCCCTGCAGGTGTCTGGGGAGGAGCTCTCCAGGCCTGGTCGCAGAGACCCTGGGCCGGAACCCCGGGCTGTGCGCAAGGGACAGTGCGCTTTGTGGGCCAGAGCTCCCCTGCAGAGCGGTAGGTAACACAGTGCCCTGAGCAGCAGGCAGGCAGAGTCCGGTTCCGTAGAGAAGATGATGAGGCCTGGGCTTTCACAGGACCGCGGGCTGCCATGTGGGGAACAGACAGGCACAATGCCCACATCGACACTGAGGGTTGTCGGCCTTCTGTTTTTGTCTGGCTGGCATGTGGAAACACGAAAATGTTTTAATTTTCATTTCTTGTTTCAGTGAGATTAGACATTTTTTCTTAGAACTCTTTTTGTTTTGTGACTTGCATATTCCTATCTCCTGCCCTTTTTCCAATTTGAGAGTGGGGATACTAATTTTCTTACGGGTTGGTAGGATAATCATTTCCAAATGTGTTGCAAATATTTTTAAAAAACTGAAAACCTTTTTGAGTATAACTTTCGTAAATTTTGTGGAAAACAGTCATCTGACAAGAAAATGGCAGATTATCTTACTTGTCATTTTGGTCGGGTTGATGCCTGCATTCATCTTGCCAGTTGCACTAGAGGCCTTTCAGTTCGATTGTGAACTGTTATGCGTCTCTTGACAGGCACAGCTGCTTTGGAAGAAGATGCTCAGATTCTGAAAGTCATCGAAGCTTACTGCACCAGCGCCAAAACAAGGCAAACACTCAATTCAAGTAAGTTTAACAATAATGGCCTGGAAATTGTGATGGTTTATTCTGTTTAGTTTCAAATTACAGTCTGAAGGAACCTGTTGTGGTAGGCCCCTTGCACAGCCCATCCGCCTGACCTCCCAGGGGCGGTGTTTCAGTCAGGGGTGGCAGGCAGGACAGCAGCTGAGCTTCAGGTCCCTAAATTCATGGAGTTGGGTCTGAGCTGTGGGCACAATTGCTGTGTGATTTTCTAGATCAAATTGTACTAGGAAATATTTAAATATAAGCTATTGCCAGAATTCATAATGCTTTTGCTAAGAGAAGATGTGTTTAAAAGACAGTGGAAGATTAGTTCAGTTATTTCAGCTATTTAAGCTATTGGTGTGGTACTGGAATTTTTCATTTTTATTTTATTATTTTTTAGTTTCTTAGAAATATCCAAAATATAAACTTTGAGCAAGGTTTCTTTTAGCCTTTCTAAAAAATAATTGCTTTAAAAAATTTTTTGGAAATTTACAGCTAATTTATTCAGTAGATTTCATGAACCACAGGATTTACCTGTGTCTGATGTATGGTGTCTTAAATGAAAAACTTTTTTTGTATTAAGGTGGCTTTTTTTTTCTTTTTGGAGACGGAGTCTCACTCTGTCACCCAGGCTGGAGTGCAGTGGCGCGATCTCAGCTCACTGCAGCCTCCGCCTCCCAGGTTCAAGCAGTTCTCCTATCTCAGCCTCCCGAGTTCCTGGATTACAGGTGCGCACCACCACGCCCAGCTAATGTTTCTGTGTTTTTAGTAGAGATGGGGTTTCATCATTTTGGCCGCGCTAGTCTCCAACTCCTGACCTCGCCTCGGCCTCCCAGAGTGCTGGAATTACAGGCGTGAGACACAGGGCTTGGCCCTAAGGTGCCTTTTTTTAATTTACATTTTTCCTGTGGTGTTGCAAGTGAAGCGCAGCAGGGTGGTGGCTGAGGCAGCGTGCCTGTCATTTACCCTGCTGGCATCCACGTGCCCAGAACAACTGACGTGAGCACATGGTGCGGGGCCTCGGACCCCACAGGGTGGCGGCTGAGGCAGCGTGCCTGTCATTTACCCTGCTGGCGTCTGCGTGCCCAGAACAGCTGACGTGAGCACATGGTGCAAGGCCTCAGGCCTTTTCGAGAACTGGATGATTCTGTATTTTCTCAGCACAGAAACTGATTTCTCCTCCATTTTAGGACTTGCTGCCCTTTCCAGCTTGACTGTCACTTATCTCACTTGTTTGTTTTGTTAGTCGCCTGCAGCGTGGTGGTTCCAGTTAGTGTCATGTATTGTTTAACGCTGAGAAAAGGAAAAAGAGGGAAGAGGACTTCTCAGCTGCTGTAGCTTTTATCAAAGACTGCTGCAGCTGTGAAGATAGGATGAGCAGGGTAACCCTTTGTGGAATCTCGATTATCCAGAAGCTTCTTTTTTTAACCATTTTCAGTATTTTACTGCTATGGTACCATGTCCCGTCTATGACATTAAGACTTTTTGCCAAGGGTCAGCACTGTTGGTTTTTTTTGTCCATACTTTAGTGAAAAATACCCATTCGTAGTGACTGCTTCTCAGAATAGGAGAGAAATAGAGAAACAGAAAGGCGTGGGTAACCTGTCAAAAGGTGGAATAAATACATGTATGATGACACAATAATGTCTGAGTACAAATTGTTGTGATGAAAGGTATTACATTTTTATAATTTGATACTGATCATGTTTTAAGTAATAGGCTATAAAATGTGGCCATAAATTTTTGGATTTTGAATTTGAGATTTTTGTTGTCATCTCAATTTCAGTTACTTGAAATAAAATTTTAGCCCAGTAGTCTCAGATGAGCAGAGCAGGTTCAGTTGGCCGCCCGCCTGTGTCTGTGAGTTCTGCATTTGTAAATCCAACTGACTGCAGATCAAAAGTACCCAGAAAAAAGAAACAGTAAAAAGTAACAATATAACAGTAAAAAAAAAATACAAATAAAAAATAATTATACTTATAACAGCTATTTATATGCTATTTACATTGTATTAAGTACTATAAATAATTTAGAAATGACTCAAAGTATAGAGCTCTTCCCCAAACAAAGTATACGGGAGGTTGTGTGTAGGTGAAATGGAAACACCATGCCATCTTGTATCAGGGACTGGAGGGTCTGAGGACTTTGGTGTCCGAGGGGAGTCCTGGAACCAATCCCCTGTGGATGAGGGCTGACATAGTGCCCACCTCATTTCTTCATGACCAGGGTCCTGTGATATGCTGTAGCTTCACGGCCCCTGACTGCCTAAGGGGAGTGGCCCACAATTCCTTTTCTTTTCTTGTCACATTGCCTGTATTCTGTATTTCCATTTCTCCTGTGCAAGAAAAGCATTGAATGATACATTGATTTTTGTTTTTAATTCATATTATGGGCAAACCACTCTGGGCTTCAGGAAGCTGATAGTCATATATACCCTTAAACCGAACACTCAAAACTAGGGAGTAATGGGAGAAATTGCTCATTCGTGCTGGGAAGTTGGTATACTTTAAGATGCTTGGAAATGGGATCATAATGAAAGCAGCTCTTTTTACATTAAATGCTTAGTAAAACAGGTTTTAGAAGGATAATATATTTTACCTAAAATGCAGCTCTGTTCAATACACACATCTGGATGCCAAGAAGATTTTGTAAACCAAACTTCCTTGATACTGATTTCTAACTCCAGGAAGTAATGGCCCTCACAGCCGGTTATGACGTAGTTCTTGCAGTCTGGGAACAGAGGTCAGTTTGATAGAAGCAGGAGCAGGGAGGAGCCGGGGCTACTGTGGTTTGCCTTCACTCAGCAAGGGGCACCCCCGCCTTTGCATGGAGGGAGACACCGGCAGCCCAGCCTGCCTCTCAGCCCAGGTGCCTGGCCATGGGCAGTGCTCATAGTTGCCAGCCACTCATGATTATTTCTCTCCTGCCATGTTGTGCCACTTCCTCTGTCATTTTCCTTTTAACACTGGGGTATTGCCAGTTCACGTCTGTCTTCCTGACAGCAGAGGGTCTGCAATGGGGTGGCCGGCATTGCCAGCAGACCCAGCTTCCCACTGCACCCTGCCTACGGGCTAAGCTCTGGCATGCCCTGGGAGCAGGGGGTGGGTTCTGGGGCTGTGGGCCCTGGCCAGTCCTTTTCTGCCCTCTGAGTTCTCAGAGTGATTGTTGATTGATCAGGTAAGTCCAGACCCACTCTCAGATTTATGGTCTTGGCAAAGCAACAACTGAAGAAGCCCGTCAGAAATCCTTTGAAATTATTTTGCATTTGATACACCTGTTTACTGATAGGAAACAATTTTTAATTAGCCATATAAATGGTACCTTTCCCAAATGATGTCCTAAATGAGACTATTTGTTAATTGAATGTGGAATAGAATTGGTTAATTGCCTCATGTCTATAGAGTCATCTTTTGGACATGGGTGTAATTTGTAAAAGATTTCTTAAATGAGGGCTTTAGAGCAATATCTTTTTTTAAAAGAGCGGTTTGGAAACATTGTGTATTAATGGCTTAATTAGATAATAATCGATCTAGTTGTATTCTAAGGGTTTTGCTAAGTTTGTTATTGAAACCCAGCCATATGTAAGGAGAAACATGCATTGTTGCCAATTTTTAACAATATTTTCTCTTTTCCTTCTCTTCCCATCACCTTTTGCTTTTGTTCCATGTTTTGGTTGTGGCTCTTCCTGTCGTTCTCCTCCTCACCCCCTGCCTGTCGCGCCTGTCCCTCCGCCCGCCCGTCTTAGCATGGCAAGGCACTGACCTGATGCATAATCACGTCTTGGCTGATGATGACCAACCAAGCCTAGACTCCTTGGGTCGTCGCAGTAGCCTTTCTCGTTTGGAGCCTTCAGACCTCTCGGAAGACTCTGACTATGACAGTATATGGACAGCCCATAGTTACAGAATGGGTTCTACATCTCGTAAGAGCTGTTGCTCATATATCTCTCACCAGAACTAATGCACTTCTGAGCTTTTCTTAACAAATGCTTGTTGTATCGCAGCCTGCTTTTCTTAGATGTTTTCTTGCTGTTCCTTGTCTCTTTTATGTGATATTTTAACAACTTTTGAGAGTGTTCCTGATATTTCCCATTGTACTTTGTGGAGGCTTAACTGCCGATGCGAGTATACATTCGAATGACTATTGGAGGGAGGTGGTGTGTTCCCGTGAGCCTACACCCGAGGGTGCTCTTCGTAAGGGGCAGTTGTTGTTTTACAGCTCCAAATGTTTTTTTATTCTCAGTGTAGCAACTGTTTGATTGATTTCTGGATACAGCTGTATGAACACTTTTCTATTTTATACTGAAATCACACAGGTTTGCGATCTAAGTGCCAGAACCATGGAGGAGACTCTGGCCTTATCTGTAAGGACCTAAATTTTTTAAGTACTGTGAACACTGATGAAGTAGTTGTGGAGAGATGAGAAGAATACATGCAGCAAAGGTGCTGTGAGCCCAGTTCCAACAGCTGTGTTCTGGTAATTGTGCCGAACAGCATGTGGGCTCTGGGCCTTGGCAGGTGCACAGACGGGCGGGCGTCACATGTGTTCAGAGCTTGTCTCCACCTCACGGCTCTGTGCTCTTCCGTGTGCTGCATTGTGGCCATGAAGTGGGAGCTCTCCTTTCCAAAGGCGGAGCTTACTGTCATGGCTCAGATGTTCACTCTCATCGTCACCCCAAACTTCCCTGAATTGCAGTGATTTCTGTTATATGGCACTTAGCAAGCCTACACCACTCTATAGTAAAAACTCTACACTAAAAGTTTAAAGCCCAAAATCTGAAGCATTCAGCCTCTGCAAGTGTAGACTACTAGACTGTATCTGGAGAGGCATTTGGAATACTTAAAAAGTCAAGTGCTGTGGCTTCAGTCCCCCCGGCTCCCCACCCCGACATCCATATTTAACGTTGTCTGGAAGAGCCATGGACACATCATTGTTTTCAGCAACCAGCTGCAGTGAAACTCCGTTTACAGCAACCCCATAGTGTAAAACTGCAATGCTTC